CCTCATCGTCTTCACAAAATTCCAAAGTCCAACTTTGAGACAACCCAGCAGGTTGTCTCATCCCGCCGGGAACTAGACACGCTTGCTCCGTGTGATCCTTGCCCACTGATTAAGGGAGTGGAGGCTTGCCTTTTGTGGTCGCCTCCTTTTTAATGGAGTGGGGCAGAGTATGGGTCAGGAGACATCCGCTTCTCCTTAGAGAGCGCAGTTTCCCTTCCAGGAGCAGGCAGACCTGGGATCCTGGGGTGGGAGTTTAAAGATTTCGAAGCCCTAGAAAGAGTCCAAGCAAGCGAATTCGTCCAAATGCCTTTCTTCCCCATCCCCACCTCCAGCGCACTCTGGCTGCTCCTTCCTAGGGATCTTCGGAGTTTCTGGAGGTTTAAAGCTTCTGCTTCCCTCCCAGACTGCACCAACTGCGAGTACGAATTCCTTTTCTCCCTCCTGGTACCCTCTCCTGAGAAAGCAGGTCCGGTCTCCTCCAGGAAGCCAGTTCCAAGCCCAAGCTTGCACCCCTAACTGTCTGGGATCACCCTTGTCCCCCTTCGAGATTGACGGCAGGTGCCGGGATTGTCTGGGGACGGGAGAGTAGCCCCGATCTTTTGGGACAGCTGCTACGTAAACTGTGCGGCACCAGCTCCGCAGAGAAGCAAATTTTAATTTTTGACTCCCAGGGGGGTGTGAGCCCGGGACTGAAGGCAGAGGTTGTTCCGAATCCGCTGAAAGCCCTTGCCAAGCGATGAGTCCTGCGTAAGGTGGGCAGACAGCACGCCGGGATTAAGCCAATTTACATCCAGAGGCGAATGACTAGACTCCAGGGCCTTGCTCGCGTGTTGGGATTTTAAAAGAAGCTGTTTAGTAACCTGGAAGATTACGAACTAGGGTGGTGGCGTAGACTTGGCTAGAGAGGAGTTTGTGGGCTCCTTCTCAGACCCATGGCCTGGGGACACGGAATGCGCAGTGTGCAGGCCCTGCTAGTCCCCCTGCTCCGGGCATTGTCCTAGCAGAGCCCGACGTCCGGCCCCTCCTAGTGCCGACCAGCACGTAGTAGCTGCTGAATAAATAAATGCTTGTGGATTAAGAGAAGACCTGCGTCCTATCCGGGACGGATCCAGGGCTGAGAAAGCCTGGCGTCCGGCCGGCGGCCGTCGGCTCCTGTGGCATAGCGGCCCACACCTCGGCCACAGCGGGCCTCGGGCTGGGCCGCGGGGGGGGCGGCCGGCCGCGGCGGGGGAGGCCCGGGTGACTCTGCGCCCCAGAGCTGCGCGCGGCGGGCACGGCCTCGGGGTGGCCCGGGCGCTTCTCCGGGTCGGGCCGGAGTTTCCCCAGCGGGCCGCTGGGACAGGCGTGTCGCAGCGCTCTCGGACCGCGGGACCCGCCTTAGCTTTCCGCCTGGAGGCCCGCGGTCCGCTGAGGTCACCGAGGGCCAGGCGCCCTGCAGAGGCCCCGGGGGCGACACCGCCCTGGACAGACCACGGACACGCTTCCAGCTCTTTCGGTGCTTTTCACACTTTCCCACTGCCCAAACCACCCCCGGGGTTCCGAAAAGGGCCGAGCGCGGCGTGGGGAGCCTTTGTGCCTAGCTGTTTGTCGAGAGTTTTTCTTCGGAAAAGAGCTTCCCCCACCCCTTTCCTCTCGTAAGTCTTGTGGTTTCCCTAGAAGACGGAAAGAGGTTGAGAAGGTTGCTGAGAGTCCCTTTTTGCAATCCTCCCCGTCCCGAAACTCCAAAACCCCAGGCGTTAGGCGTTAGGGAGCTATTTGGGGCACAGAAGGAGCGAGCAGTGCATTCCTTCTCCGGCAGCCCTCCCACCTGGTAACTGCGCTCCCCTCCCCCGGCCAGGCTGGGGCCGGCGCCCGGGCTTCCGCAGCGGGTCCGGGAGCGGCAGGGTTAAAGCCCAGGAATGTGGCGGCGAGGAATGTGCATGCAGATGAGCCCGACGAGGGGCGGGGCGAGGGCGGGCCCGGG